CAACTAGCAGCGAAGCACTGCAGCAGCAGCAGCAGCTGCTGCAGCAACAGCATCAGCACGACACCAGAGGGGCAGAGGAGCAGCACCAACAGCAGCAGCAGCAGCAACAGCAGCAACACTCCGCTGCTGCTGCTGCTGCTGCTGCTGCTGCTGCCGATGATGAGACACCCGAGCTCCCCTTGAGGCCTTCAGCGCTCGTGCGGCTCTCGCGCACTCTAAGACAGCAGCTGCAGCAGCAGCCGCAGCAACAGCAGCAGCAGCAACAGCAAAGGCCTGCGTGCCGCAGCAACCGCTGCTCTCCCCCATGTTACCGCAGAATTCAACACCAGCAGCTGCCGCTGCTGCTGCAGCAGCTAGAGCAGCAAAAGCAGCTGCAGCTGCAGCTGCAGCAGATTTTTTTTCAAGAGCAGCAACTGCTGCAGCCACAGCAGCATTTGCTGCAGCAACATTTTCTGCAGCAGCAGCTGCAGCAGCAACCTCATTTGCAGGAACATAGACTGCCGCAGTACATGCAGCCACACCCCCAGCAGCAACGGCAGCAACAGCAGCAGCAACAGCAGCAGCTGCTGCAGTACCAGGATTGCCCTCTAGTCGGGCCTCTTAGGGAGCCACCACAGCTGAACTTTCTACTATCAACACAGCAGCAGCAGCAGCAGGAGCAGGAGCAGCATCAAGAGCAGCAGAAACGGCAACAGCAACAGCAGCAACAGCAGCAGCAGCAGCAGCAGCAGCAACAGCAGCAACTGCAGAAAGGGGTACTTGAGGAGCAGCAAACATGTTTGGTTGCGTCTGGCAGCTGCTGCGTCGCTTGCCGTAGAAGCAGCAGCAGCTGCAGCTGCAGCAGCAGCAGCAGCAGCAGCAACAGCAGCAACAACAACAACAACAGCAGCTGCAGCTGCTGCAGCACTCTCCGCGGCTCCTGTTACAAAACTGCATGCATACGTATACAGTGCAGCGCTGCAATCCGTATGCAGCAGCAACAGCAGCAGCTGCTGCTGCTGCAGACACGCAGCAACCGCCGCCCTGAGCTGACATCAACAGCAGCAGAGCACTGCTGCTATCCGCTGCTGCAAGGGAAAGACAGCGACAGTATCCAACTGCAGCAGCAACTGCTGCAACAACAACAGCAGCAGCAACAGCAGCAACAACAACATGAGCAACAGGAGCGGCAGAATCAATGGAAAACATCATCTACTTCGCAACTCCAGCAGCAGCAGCAGCAGCAGCAGAAGACTCCAGTGCAGACGGACAACGAACAGCAGCAAGAGCAGCAGCAGGACCTGCAGCAGGACCTGCAGCAGGACCTGCAGCAGGACCTGCAGCAACAGGACCGAAAGGGGCTGCAACAAAAGAGGCAACAGCAGGAACTGCAACAGCAGAAGCAGCAGGAACTGCAGCAGCAGCAGCAGGAACTGCAGCAGCAGGAGAAGCAGGAACTGCAGCAGCAGAAGCAACAGGACCTGCAGCAGCAGAAGCAGCAGGAACTGCAGCAAGAGCAGCTGGAGCTGAAGCAGCAGCAACTGTTGCAGCTGGAACAACAACAGCAGCAGCAAGAGCAGCAGCAGCAGCAGCAACACCAAGAACTGTTACAGCTACAGCAAGAACTGAATAAGCTGGAACTGCACCAGCAGCAGCAGCAGGCGCAGCAGCAGCAGGAGGAGCAACTGTTGCAGCTAGATCAGGAACAGGAGCAGCAGGAACCGCAGCAGGAAGCGCAGCAGCAGCAGCAACAGGAGCAGCAGCAGCAAACAGAGAGGCATGAGGGCCATTTGCAGCAAAAGCACTCTATTGGCCATGAAAGCTCGACAGCTGCAGCAGCAGCAGCAGCAACAGCAGCAGCAGCAGCAGCATCAACACCCAAAACAACACCTTGCACCGGAAACAACTCTCCGTCACCCCTTGATCAGCAGCAGCAACACCAACAGCAGCAGGAGCTGCTGCTGCTGCAGCAACTGCAGCTGCAGCAGCAGCTGAAACAGCAGCAGCTGGAGCAGCAGCAGCAGCAGCAGCAGCAGCAGCAGCAGCAGCAGCAGCAGCAGCAGCAGCAGCAGCAGCAGCAAGACCGTGGGTGTGCCCTTAAAGAATGCGACAGAACTTTGACGGCCCGTCGAAGGCAAATTGCGACTTCAACTTCCTGCATCAAGATCAGCAGCAGCAGCAGCAGCAGCAGAAGCAGCAGCAGCAACAGCAGCAGCAAATTTTTTCAGCATCAGCTGCAGCAACAGCAGCTGCAGCAACAGCAGCTGCAGCAGCAGCAGCGGGTGAGAGGACCTTGCTTGTCTGTAAGGCCGAGGGCCCTCTTTCCTGCAGTGAGCAGATGAGGCTAAACAAGCGGCAGCAGCAGCTGCTGCAGCAGCTGCTGCAACAATTGCAGCAGCAGCACCAGCAGCAGCTGCTGCTGCTACCGCTTCATAGGAATATAAATGTCACCCCTTTCTACTTAGTTATTAATTCATTGATTTGTTGGAGTGTCTGTACACCTCAATGAGGGATTCTTCTT